ACTGCTTGAATGCCTGTAGATGGAGGCTGAATTAACTAAATTGGGATAACGCATTAAAACTGTGAGTTTTAAGCCCACTAGATAGTGGCAAAATCATCTTTTCTAAAGCCCACTTGAGGGTGGCAAAATCTACATTTTTAGCCTACTTGCGAGTAGCAAACCATTTTCAAAACAAGCATGAAATGTTTTGTTCCAATTTAGGCGATTTGGTCTATACTTGTTGGTTGTGCGCATAACATAGTAATTCTAGGCTAATAACCGGAATAAGAACACATGACGTTTTCAAAAACGGATATCACGGTTAGTATAGGCCGATCTTCGGATCGAGCGAGAGGGGGTGCTCATAGCTAACCATTCCCAATCGTACCCAAGCTCCCGAGCCGAGGCAACTTTGGTGATGACGGACACGTGGCCTTTGGCACCGAGTCAAGGTTTCCTAAATTCCCCCATAAAAAATATTTAGGTGACGACTCTGTATCTGGCAAAGCAGTCCATGTTTGGCACTTTTCTAAAAATCTGTTTTCTCAAAACGATTTGCCGGATTTGGACTATTTGGTTCAAGATTAAAAACCGTGACACAAATCGAGTCTGAACTATGGGGTGAGGCCCCCACGCGGGGCGCGTCCACGACATCCAAGTCTTAAAGGGCCGTAAAAAATGGGGTGTCTACAGTTGCCCTTGTTTGACAGAACTCGGAGTCATGAAATGACGTGAGTGAATGTCAAAGCCTCGAGACGACCCATTTTGACAAGGCCATAAGATTTGGACAAACAATTAAGACAGAAAACAAATGGTTGCGCTCGTAGGCTGCCTACGGATCCCTTTACAAGGAATCAAACTAGCGTAGTTCTAGGGCAAAATGCAAATGATATGTATGATGCAAGAACATAACTTATGATCATGCAATGAGGCTGTGCAATGAAATATTTAAATGCAAATGCTATGCAAAGAAAATGCCACATTACTGAAACAAGGTACATAAATTCCAATTATGAAAAGAAGCAGTTAAACAAACACGCCACGTGCGGGAATCACAAGCCAAACCACATTTCATGCAGGAAGGATGTAAGAAAATTACGCAAGTTAAGTACATGTCGCGCAGAAAGGGCGAAGGGCGACATAACCATTGTGCACATCCAAGGTTTCAACCGAGATCCTAACGTGTTACACACATAAGGAGGAAAGGGAAGGTGTGAACACAGGGACGCACCCAAATTTTTAAACCAAAGGTTGGTGTGAACACCAGGATGCACCCGAATATTTTTAACCAAAGGGTGGTGTGAACATCGGGGCGTACCCGAATGTTTTTAACCGAAGGGTTGGTGTGAACATCGGGACGCACCCTAATGTTTTTAGCCGAAGGGTTGGTGTGAACACTGGGATGCACCCTAATGTTTTTAGCCGAAGGGTTGGTGTGAACACTGGGATGCACCCTAATGTTTTTAGCCGAAGGGTTGGTGTGAACACTGGGATGCACCCTAATGTTTTTAGCCGAAGGGTTGGTGTGAACACTGGGATGCACCCTAATGTTTTTAGCCGAAGGGTTGGTGTGAACACTGGGATGCACCCTAATGTTTTTAGCCGAAGGGTTGGTGTGAACACTGGGATGCACCCTAATGTTTTTAGCCGAAGGGTTGGTGTGAACACTGGGATGCACCCTAATGTTTTTAGCCGAAGGGTTGGTGTGAACACTGGGATGCACCCTAATGTTTTTAGCCGAAGGGTTGGTGTGAACACTGGGATGCACCCTAATGTTTTTAGCCGAAGGGTTGGTGTGAACACTGGGATGCACCCTAATGTTTTTAGCCGAAGGGTTGGTGTGAACACTGGGATGCACCCTAATGTTTTTAGCCGAAGGGTTGGTGTGAACACTGGGATGCACCCTAATGTTTTTAGCCGAAGGGTTGGTGTGAACACTGGGATGCACCCTAATGTTTTTAGCCGAAGGGTTGGTGTGAACACTGGGATGCACCCTAATGTTTTTAGCCGAAGGGTTGGTGTGAACACTGGGATGCACCCTAATGTTTTTAGCCGAAGGGTTGGTGTGAACACTGGGATGCACCCTAATTCTTCTTCCTTGGTGGCTTCCGCATACGCCTTCATGTATTTTGAACAAAAATGCCTGAACCTTGCTAGGATGGACACATTTCAAGTAAGGTCCTGTGAAGGAGTTTTTGTATAATGCTAATGATGGAGAGAGCCAAAATCGCTATGACTTTGCTCTTATTTTGTTGGCCACTTTCTTCTCTTCAGGTAAGATGTCGTCTTTTAAGAATACTATAATGGGATCCATCTATGAAAGGCCTAGTTCGGCACAACATACCTCAGCTACTTCGGGTTCTTTAATACTTGGTCTGGGTAGGAAGTCGATCAATAATGGATGCGAGATAGATGTATTTGCCATTAAGGTAAACCTGCTAGTTCGTCTACTCTACTGTTTTCTTCTCGGCCGATTTGCTCTATTCGTACTACTTCGAACTTCATGATCTCTTTTCTGACTAACTCTTGGTACTTAGCCATCCTCTCATCTTTCGCCTCGTAGTCGCTTGAAATCTAGTTTACTACTAGCTGGGAGTCACTGTAAACCATTAGCTCGGTGACCTTTATGAAAAGTACTAATTTTAAGCCTGCTAAAAGCACTTCATACTCCACCTCATTGTTTGATGCTGGGAAGCCAAGGGTGATTGCTTGCTCTATTATTAGGCCATCTGGTGAGATAAGGACTATGCCAAGTCCTACACTGTGCCTATTGGATGCTCCATCCATGAAGAGCTTCCACATCTCTCCGACGAATAATTTCCAGCAAGTAGAGGGGTCGGATGATGTCTTGAGGTCATGTGTGTTGCTGATGTTTTCTTCTAAGTCCATGCCTGCTGTTAGGGTTTGCTCTTTACTATCTGACTGCCCCAAGTTTTTACTTGTTGATGAGTCCTCGCTGGGAATAGCACGGTTTGCCCATTCCTTCTTGGCTTCAATCCTGTATGGCTTGGAATGTGGCTAGGCATCTTGTTTTGGGGGCCGTGCAGTTCCTGTGGCACTTTCCATCTCCATTTCGGTTATATCAGTCAAGTCAACTAGGCAGATGTGATGGCTTCCTGGTGTAAACTCAGCCACAAAGTCTATTAAAGCTTTGGCTTTTATTGCGGTTTTAGGTTGAAACTTGATATCGAACTGTCCCAATTCCACCGCCCACTTTAAGATTCGTCTAGAAAAGTCTGCCCTCTCAAACAAAGCTTTCAAGGGAAAAGCTGTTAGGACGATTATGGTGTGGCCGTGGAAGTAATACGACAACTTCCTTGAGGCCATCATCAAAGCCAAGGCCAGCTTTTCCAATGGTAGGTACCTGGTTTGTGCGCCCAGCAAGGTTTTGCTAACATAAAAGATAGGCAGGTGTTGGATTCCTTCTGCTTTGACCAACATACACTGACTGCATGTTGGGAAACTGCTAAGTACAAAAAGAGCTCTTCTCCAGGTATTGGGGTTACTAGCAATGGAAGAGAGGTCATGTACTCTTTCAAGCTCTCTAGGGTGCGGTCGCATTCTTCATCCCATTCAAACTTGGCCTTCAATGCTTGGAAAAATGGTCGACATCTGTCTGATGACTGACTTATGAACTGGTTGAGTGCGGCAGCTAGGCCAGTGAGATGCTATACCTCTTTTACTGTGTTGGGCCTCTCTAGATCCTGGATTGCTTTGATCTGAGAGGGGTCTGCTTCTATACCTCGGTTGGTCACCAGGAAGCTTAGGAATTTGCCTAATCCTACGCCGAATGCATACTTAGATGCATTTAGACGCAACTTGTTGTTCTTTAGTATTTGGAACATTTCGTCTAGGTCCCTGAGATGGTCTTTCTCATCCTTGCTTTTGACCACCATGTCATCTATGTAAGCCTCCATTGTTTTGCCTAACAATGGTTCAAACATTTTGATGACCATCCGTTGGAATGTGGCCTCTGTATTTTTTAGGCCAAAGGGCATGACCTTGTAACAATACAATCCTCTGGGCGTTGTAAAAGATATGACCTCATAGTCTGGCTTATACATAGCGATCTGATGGTAACCTCTATACGCATGAAGGAAGCTAAGTCGACTGTGCTCTGCTGTCAAGTCTACCAGTTAGTCTATCCTGGGTAAGGGAAAGCTATCCTTTGGGTATGCCTTGTTGACTGCTTTGTAGTCCACGCAAACACGCCATTTTCCATTCTTCTTTGGCACTACTACAGTATTGGATATCCACCTGGGATAATGCACCTCTCTGATGGCTCCTGCCTTCAGCAAGTTTCTCACTTCCTCCGCCACTATCTTCGCGTAGTTGAGTGCTGATCTGCGAGCGCGCTGTATGATTGGTCTGCTGTTTGGGTGGACATTAAGTTGGTGGCAGATGAAGGTAGGGTCTATGCCAGGCATGTCATATGGCGTCCAGGCGAACACTTCGATATTTGAGATTAAGAATTCCATTAACTCAGTTCTCTCAGTGCTAGACAAAGATGAACCTAGCAAAAAGAACCTTTCTAGGTTCTTTTCATCTACCCTTACCTCAACCAAGTCCTCCACTACCTTCTGTTCTGCTGCCTTGCCAACGTTCGCAAATAGTTCATTGCTCTCAGGCTCTTCTACCATCTGTACATATCCTTTTGTAGCCCGGCTGCCATTTACTGTGACGAAGCACTGTTTTGACATGATTTGGTCTCCCAAGACCTCTTTAATTACTCTGGCTTTGTTGGGGAACTACAGTGCTTGATGGTAGGTTGATGCTACTGATCGCATGGCGTGCAACCATGTTCTTCCCAGGATTATGTTGTAAGTGGAAGGGACTTTCAATACCCAGAATTCCACATGTTTAGTCATGGTCCCAGCTTTGACTGGGAGGATTATCTTGCCTACTGGCCGTTCTGGTATTGAGTTGAAGCCAACTAGGGGGGATGTTGCAGGGGCCAAGTCTTTGTCCGCTAGTTTCAGCTGTTTGAAAGTTTCATAATACATTATCTCGCACGAACTTCCTTAGTCAATCAGGATTCGCTTGATGTCGAAGTTCTTGACGCGCAAAGTTACAACCAGTGCGTCATTGTGAGGGCAATGTAGCCTTGCTAGGTCTTTGTCTGAGAAGGATATGACGTTTGTAGCCTCTATTTTGCCCTTTTTGATGGCGGGTTGTGCACTTAGTACCTCTTTCAGGTGCTCTGCCTTCTTTATCATCCCCCTGAGTTCACATACCTGCTCAGGTTCAATGATCCCATGAATAACATTGATTACGCCTTGGGGTGGTTCGTCCACCGGCATCCTGTTTGGCCCGTTGAGGTCCTGGGGGGCTGGCTGTGTTCCTCCTTTAATATACTGGTCTAGGTGACTAGCAGCTACTAATTCTTCCAGATATTGCCTCAGGGGTGTGCAGTTTTCAGTTAGGTGCCCTTTCTCATCATGGAAGGTGCAGTGGGACCTCTCGTCGTAGCCCTTTTGTGTTACTCCCAACTTGGCTGGCCGCCAAACGAAGGGTTCATTCTTTATCTCGCTGAGAATTCGATAGATGGGTTTATTGAACACGGTGGTGATGGTAGTGCGAACTCTTAACCTGTACATATGGAAATCCATAGTGACCATTCCAAACTAGGACAGGTTGCTGCCCGATTATAGGTTGTTTGAAACCGCTGTGTGCGTAGTGAAGCCCTAGCTCCTGACAAAATAGGATAGGGAAACCCTACCCCAACGTAGGGGTGTTTTGGCTCTTACTTATCTGTTATGTGCTTTAGAGTTTGGCTTGTACACGGAATGTATGTATCAGTTTGCAAGTTTGGGCATCAGGCCTGCGGGCACCAGTTCAGTATTTTGGGATTCAGTTTACCTGAGGGTATCGGTTTACAGGCAGAATTTTGGGACAGAATGCAGCAGAGGGCACAGTCATCCTGTTATGCTCATATATGTTTTGGCGAAATTGGGCTAAGGTGCTGTTTGTTTTCCCTTTTGCAAGGTAGTCTAGGAGCCATAGCTTCAGAAGGCTCCACTATCCCCCAAGTACATTGGATTTGTGCTGATAGACTTTGTCAGGTCAGAGACTCAGTTCAAGGGGAATTAGGGCCAGAGAAGGCTAGTCAGGCGCAGACCACCAGTACAACAGCTACTAGATCAGTGATCTTTGGGCAGTCGGGTTGAGATTTCTGAGCCTACTGCAGACACAGATATACCAGTTGCTCAGTTAGATCAGGACAATATGTCGGGTCTGGAAGAGATGGTGCGCCAACTCCAAGAGAGTATGAAAAACATGTAAGAAGACGTCGTTCGTCAAGTAGAGTTTGCCAAACAACAGGCCGTGGTGATGGCCCAACAGGCAGAGCTAATCACCACGCTACAGCAGCAAACTGGTGTATCTACTTCGCATCAAGCTCCTCCCCTACCAAGGGTTTCGATACTCGGAGAAACACCAAATGTCCAGGAGGATACAGACATCCCAGCGGGGCCGGCTCCGCCCCTGATTCTACCTCAACTATCCAAGGCACCCACTCCTATCAATCAACTGAATTCTCCCTTTGAGTTCGAGGTGGACCCCACAGCGTTGAAAGTGAGCAACCTTGAAAAGCTGTTCAAGAAATCTCAAGGTGTGAAGTCCATTCCGAACATTGAGGACGGGTATACCGACATAGCTGTGACGCTGCTAGACGGATTTAAGATGCCACACATCGACCGATTTGATGGATCTGGGGATCCCATGGAGCATCTCCGGTTGTTTTCGGACATACTAAGGCCGATGGGCCTCACCAGATTACAGAAGCTTTCTTTATTCGGCCGGACCCTGTCGGGTGTAGCGGCCATCTGGTATGCGAAATTGGAGAACTCTGTGAAATAGAATTGGGAAGGGATGGCTGAGGCCTTCAGTGATCAATACTCCTACAACACACAGATTGAGGTCACGACTCGTGATCTTGAAGTCACCCGCCAAGAGCCAAAGGAGGGTTTTTCAGAGTTCGTGACGAGGTGGAGAGCAAAGGCCTCAATGATGACTACAAGGCCTTCCGACAAAGACCAGATAAGGATGGTTGTGCGCAACCTCCAACCCAGGCTGATGCAAAAAATAATCGTCCTCCCCTTCCCTACCTTTCTCCAACCCAGGCTGATGCAAAAAATGATCGTCCTCCCCTTCCCTACCTTTTCAGATTTACATGAGATGGGAGTACAGATTAAGGATGCCTTGAAGTAGGGTTTGATTAATAATGACAAGGAGCAGCCCAAGAGGGCAGCTAACCGCAGTTCGAATGCGACTACCAGTGGTGATGCAGCTGCAAGATCTTCTGAAGTTGGAATGGCCACCACCAAAACAGCTAGCCCCTTTGTTGGTACATCCAATCCAAACCCCCGAACCTCAGACTATCTACCCCGGGGCAAGACGATTTTCACCCCGCTTTATATGACTTTGTCTAAAGCTCTGGGGATCCTACTCAGGAAAGGACATCTGAAGCCGTTAGAACAACGGCCTCTACCCGATCCTCTCCCTCCAAAGCATGAGCCGACTAAGTACTGTGCTTTTCATCAACAAACCGGTCATGGCACCGACAGTTGCGTCCGTCTCCACCACGAGATACAAAATTTGATTGACAACAGGGCCATCCCCGCACCAGATCCTGGAAAGTCTATCGATACTTGATCAGTGAGCTTGTGGGGATATTATGATGTGATCAGGGGATGAACCACCTGCAGGCGGCACTCAGTTTACTCCAGGTGTGGTGTATGGCACGCACTGTTTTGAGCATTTGTGAATGCTGATTTTTGTACTTTCTGACTCGGGTATTGAGCCAGTTTTGTTATGTCGTTTAGAGTCTGTCTCATTGTATAGAGTCAGTCTTTTCATACTGAATCAGTTGGGTCTGCCTGGTTGTATCGAGTCAGTCCTGTTTTCTCAGAGTCGAGTGATTCCGGGGATGTTACCTCGGATGTCACTATTTTGTTTTGTGTTTGTCTCTTTGCTTTCTTTTTGAGTCTGTTTCTGCCGTGGAGCCAGTTGCAACCGGGAAATTTGAATGAAACAGCTGTGGCTGTCATGTTTTGTACTTATTGCTGCTTTGAGCCAGTTGTGCCAACAGATCTGAATGAAAAAAGTAGTAATTCTCACACTCTTGTGTTTGCTTCTGCCATGTACCAGTTGTGCCAAAAATTCTAAATGAGATGGCAGTATTTGAATAGAAGCTGTGTCTTTTTTTGTGCCTTGAATTCATTGCATTGACCGAAGTTTTCCAAAACTCTTTTCAAAACATTGTGATAAAAACGAAGAGGAGGGAATTCCCCGGGTTTTGCAAAATTTGATCAATTGAGAGAAAGAGAGGCATGCTAAGCCCTTAATGATTGAAATCATGCTTGTTAACGTGACTACTGAGAAGGATCCTGGCTTGATCCAGGTTGGTTCTACCTTGTCTTCCGTGCGAGCGATTAGTCGTTTTCTTAAAAACTTTCAAAAACATGTTTTGCGCGGTCCTGCGAAGACCTGTGTGAAATCGCTCTTGAGATTGTGCTGCCTAGGATCACTCTCAGCCTCGGGACTCCACTCTTCTTGATTTCAAACCTTGAACTTGGATTCAGAATGTTCCAAGGCCAACCACAATGTAAGGCCTGTGTGGTCATATTTGAAGCAGCCCTCGAACTAGGGGCAGGGAAGTCAAATCAAGAAGATCAGATGTCATCAAAAGGAGCTTGCAAGCTAGATCAGAAGCACCCCTCGAACTAGGGGCAAAAGACGCCAGATTGTGCTCGAAGAGTCAAAGATGGATCATTCCACAAATCAATGAAGATCGGCAAGAATGCCAAACCCCAGAAGGGAGGAAAGAAGAAGACATTGTTGAAGGACAACTGAGTTCCTATCCACAACACTAGGGGAAAATTCACCCTCCATTGGATGGACTTCTACATCATCAACGAATAGTAGCCATTCTCCTGGATTTAGACGGATTTGAGATCTCAGAACCATTTGATATGGACCAAGCTACACTTTTACCCTTGAGAGGCTCGCTGGGCTGAAAATCCGGAAGGACGACCTAAGCAAAAGTTAGAGCAAGAAAAAGAAAAAAAAAAGAAAAAAAGAAGAGAAATGCAAAAAGAAAAGAAAAAAAATGAAGAAAATGAAAAGAAAAGATAAAAAAGAAAAAAGAACAAAAAAGAATTGAAAAAAAAAAAGGAAAAACAAAGCTCACAAGGTTGAAAACCCAGAAGGGCGGCCTTGGCAAAAGTTAGAGCGTAAAAAAAGTGAGGGTTAATACACGAGTGTACCTTACCCGAACTACGTAAGGCTTGATTCCCATGTTTGGGATACGTAGGCAACTTCATTCCGAAGTCCAGCCACAAACACTTCCAAATCAACTGTGTCCATGTAATGGTTTTGATCATCTTCGCCCTCTCTGTATCTGAGAGTTCGGTTATAATCATCGCTTCGAGGACTGATTACAATGCACTACAGTGCCATTCAGACAAGGGGCAACTTTCCGTTGCCATTCAATACACCGCGGTGCCGTTCAAACAAGGGGCAACTTTCTGTTTCCATACAGCTCTCTTCCAGCAAGGGGCAATTTTCCTCCAGATCTGAGGTTGTGCATCTCAAGAGTAAGTTCCGTATTGGTTGAGCAGTGGCCATTTGCAAAAACATTTTTTGAGAATTTTTACTGAGGTGGACTATTTTCTCGAAAATTATTTCATCTTTTCCAAAACTGGACCATTTCTTGGACCCAAAAAGGGAAAATTTTCAATGCTCATAACTTGACTTGCATGATTTTCAAATCAAAAATCGAACAAGTATGTTAATCTAACTCTCACATTGATCAAAATTGTTTTAGTAGAAAGCAAAAACAAAAAATGGTCAAAATGATGAAATAGGGGCATAGTTGAGAAAGGTGTTCTGTCTTTCTCCCGTTGTCAACATACTTGCCAGAAAGGGCACTCTACCTGCCAAGAAGGGCACAACTGAGGTTAACAACAAAAGGGCTGAAAGCTCTCTCATCCTCTAAGCAACGAGGTATCAAGCCAAGTGCGAAGCACGAACCGGAATGGGACAAGATATTCCACTCCCTTATCTGGACAGATCTGATCACGTCCAAACTCCCCAGCAGAGCATCGTCAACCGGTGTCAGCTGCAGATTTGCTATATACCCAATTGTAGCGCAACCCCTCTGTGGAAGAAACTCACTGTTGCGAACAGGAAGAAGAATCTGGCAGAATGCTAGGGGTAAGAGCCCACAACTTTCTGTTTATCCATCAACCACCCAGGAGAGGGATAAAAAAATGAGAGATTGAAGAATAGAGAGATGTGCGCTGAAAGAAAAAGCGAGAAAAGGGTTTTGAGAGAAAAAAAGAGCCTGAGGGCCGAGTGATGTGAGAATCACAAATGAGAAAGGGTGGGAAATAATACTCGGAGAAACTGGCTCCTCGTGCACTGAGAGGTCTCTTGTGTTTGTAACACGTCTCTGTGTCGTGCCTTTTGTTTTGTTTGTCTCGATTCTTGCTTTGAGTCGTTCTGAGCGTGTCTCGATGTGTTTAGGTTGTTTACCTTTTGTTTTCCGTTGTTGAGTCTTTCTCGTTGTGTTCATTTGTAGGCTCAATACCCGGTTAATAACTCATTT